ATTTGTTTGCGAATGTACATAAACAAATCAAACTTCAGGAGACACAAATTTCTATTGGTCGAATTAATAGTCCCGCCTACGTTTGCATTTCGATGATTGTCGATGACATCTGTCAAAGAAAAAGTGCGTAACCGCTATTAACGTATTTGAGTTTATTTGTGTTTAGTGTGGCATTTTCCTCTTATTGTTGTGTAGTTTTTATGTATGGACATTTATTTAGTGCTAAGACATGGTTAGAAAGTGGGTTATTTGTAGTTTTATTTAAAAAAGGCGGACAGCTGTCTTTTGACAGGTAAGTAAACAAGCAACATGGGCGGCGTTTGAGGAATTACATAAGGGTGTTTTACATTTAGTACTTAATTAGCAGTGATAAAATACTGACTAAATCATTATCTAAATTATTAAAAAGATATATTTTTTAATTGTTCAACTTATTTTTTCCTGTTTCAGTAATATTATAAGTATATTATGAGTAATACCTGTATTTTTTAGATTTCCTAAGAATCTGGAACGGAGAAATTTGTGGAAGCTCTCCCTAGGTGATGTCAATATTACCGACAACATTTTTGTTTGTTCTGATCATTTTGCGATTAATGATTTTCTGACAAAGCCATCAGGTATAAAGTACTTGTGAGAGATAGCTATTCCAATAATAGCTTCTACTTATAGCAGGTAAAATAACTTTTATATTGATTAAAATATACAAGTAAAAAGCCTTTACAGTTACCTAGTACCTCTTTACCTTTTTATTTAATTTTTATAGATCAGACAGTTCTAATAAGGAAAATATTTCTCTAAATGATGTTCTTACACAGTCATTGCACTTGCCGCAACAAAAACCAGAAAATATATCTACATGTTCATCGTCATCGACACTGAGTGCTCAATCAGGCTTGTTATCTACTACAAATAAGGCTACAGATCTTTCTGAAATATATTTGAAATTTGGTGACACATCACCAAAACATTGATCAACTTTAACTGCATCAGAAATAGGAATGGATTCACCCAATCGTAATAAAATTATAAACGTGAAGTAAGTTATAAAAATATAATTAACAAATTATATATCCTTTGTATAGTATCTACAACTAATACCCTATAATTTTGCTATCTGCTTACCTATCTAACATTTTTTTTATTCAGTACATTTTAAAAAATACCAAGAAAATTCTACCTGTTACCTATTTATATATTACTATTTTATTTTATATAAACACTACCGTAAGTGTTTATATAAAATACATCTGGAATAGATAATTCATCATTTTTAGGAAAAGGCCTTATCCACGATATTTTGGAGAATGCCATACTTCTGACATGGATAGTCCAAAAAGAGCAAGAAAAAATTGGAGTATTTGTAAGAAAAAAATTAAAATGCAAACAAAATCCGAAGTCTGCAGCAGGCAAAGAGTCGTCTAAAAGCCAGAATTTGTAGCCTTAATTCTCTTCTGAAATTTTTGAAAAAGAAATATGACTTAACAGAAACTGCTCAATGTATCATTCATGTAAGTTGAAAAATACTTATTCTTTCTGTGTCTGTAAACAATATGTAATTTTAGGAATATGGAATATTAGGTGAAATCTGTCAAAGATCAAGAAAATGACAATCTCGTAAAACGTGTTCATCTGAGCTTAGGTCGTTTGCCTTAACGTTAAGCTTTTATTCAACAGATGCTTATAATTATGCAAGAAGAAGTTTTAACATGGCTTTGTCACATACAAAAACAATTTCTAAGTGGTACAGATCAACGAATTCTTTTTTTTTTTTTCTTAGGCAACAAATATATGTTTTATTATTAATTAAGAATATATTGTTAGGTTAAGATAAAGATTTTAAATACTGCTTTGTAGTGGTTGACAATGTTATACAATACCACTTGTTTTCCTAGTGATAAATGTTTTTTAATACTGCTTTATCACAATGTGTTTGTAGCTCACTTTAGGTATTTAGGTGTGTGTAATGTACTTTTATTGTAACCTGTAATTGGGCCTTGTACATGTTAGTTGGGTGCAGTTGGGTGAATAAATAAATTAATAAATAATTTTTTATCCGTGTCAAAATATATCCCCTACGCCACTGCCGTTGTGTCTCTTTGGGTATACGTAAATATACTCTGTCTCTATCCAATTAGTAGTTGTTTATCTAGATGCTGGCTACAACTGAATGTAAGGTATTATTTTCACAAAGCTCCTTCTAGGGGTTAGAATTCGTTGGGTTGTACTAATAATGGTGCCTCTCGATGCTCCGAATTGACAAATTTGAAAATTAGAGACGTACAAATAGGACGTTGGCAGTTACCTACTTGTTTCAATACCCGACACCAAGACGGGAATTTCAAGAAAATTTACAATTATAGAAGGATTATGCGTGAATGCTGTTGAAATATGCAGAAAATATATGTCTCTGCGCCCAATTCGTCTAACACAAGACAGATTCTTTTTAAGATCAATCAAAAATGTACCTACTTCTCAGCCTGTTGAAATCAACAAATTGGCGAAGGTACCCTCAATAGTTGCTTCATTCCTGAATATCGCAAATCCAGAAGCATATACTGGCCATTGTATGAGGCGCACTTCAAAATCTTTATTGGCTAATAAAGGTGCTGATCTTGCAACCAACAAACGTCATGGTGAATGGAAGAGCTCCTCTCTAGCAGAAAGTTATGTTGAGGAGTCTATATCTAATAAACTTGATATTGCAAGGAAAATCCAAGGAAAATATAGCTGTTGCTTACAAGAAGAGACATCGGTACCTTGTGCAAATTCTTCACAAACTTCGGCAGAGTTTATGCGTTCCGAAAATGATGGCAACAATGCTACAAGGGTTGTTATTAACGGAAAAGAAGTTAAATGTGATGATAAAACAAAAAACGAAATATCTATTACTATAAATATAAATGTTAATGTTAATAAGTACATTTGATTTATTATAGGTTCATTATTTTTTTCATTATTCATAAAGTATCACTTTAGACGGTTCATATTGTGTAGATAATAGTCAACAAAAACATTTAAAAAAACAAGATGTGAAAATATTTCTCAAATGTAATTGACTATTAATAACAATAACACATTTATTTGGCTTTAACAAAAAATATAGTGTACATACGTAGCATCCTTTTGTTATTTTTGTCGCCAACATTAATCACTGAAGTTTTTCTTGAATTAATTAACGTCATCATTCATTCTGTCCCTTGATACAGGAGCGAGTATTAAGGCCAACTTTATTCGATGTCAAAATAATAAAATAATAGGGAGAACTCGACGAAAATTGATGAAACCAGACTGTTTTTATTTACATAAAAAAAATCTTCAGGGTGTTTTCAAATGAAATAGCACACTGGTGGATCTACAGCTAAAAAGAACACGTTTTGTATAAAAATGACCATAATAAAAAAAATATGGAATAACGGCTGTAATTTCAAAACCAAAAAAGACTATTCTACTATAGTCAAATTTTACTCAAATTTTCTACTAAAGCATGCGCTTCTTAACAATTTTTCAAAAATATCAACAATTTGGAGGAGGTTGAAATAAACACCCCTAAGTTATTTTTTTACTACAACATTTTTGTATGACAAAAACTGAATATTCAAAAATACTTATCATATAGCCTTGTTTATTTTAAAACTTTTACCTCTACCACTTTTTTTATTTAAAAGTAACCGTTTATTAACAAATAAATTAAATTGCCAAATCAGTCGAGGCAATTAACGTAAGTGCAAATATATATCATTTGTATTAAAAAAATAGAACACTACTAAATTTTTTTTAAAAAAAAAATCACACGAATGTCGTTCAATTCTCGTAACTGGTTGTGGAAATGGAAGCAGAAAAAGCGAAACGACCAGATTTCTAAAACTAGATCAACTTTTATGGTGTCAACTTTAAATCTACTGATACCAATACATATTTCAGTAAAAAACAAATCCTCATCAATCAATTAAAAGTAAATCGACAACATTCTCACTGCCAGTGTTGTTTGTTTAATAAACTAGTTAGCATCATAACTATCAAAGATTTATTGACGGACAAATATTGACAAAGCTTAAGTATTTATCTGCCGATTATATTAAACTCGATTGCATTAATGAAATTAATTTATAAATAATCCTTTTGTTTTCATATATTTTTTTATGACTAGAACAGCGTCGATAAAGTTAGCGAGTTAATTTTCAATAGTGAGAATTTACTGTACTTAAGATAAAATATGTAACAACTATTATTTATTTTGTATAAAATGCACATAGCAATGAAACCGGCCAGGTATAACACATGGCTAACAAAGTGTTAAGTTTCAAAACACACATGGATATATAAATAAACATATACGTTACTAACTGTTCCGTAGTAGTTATTTAATGCAGATGTCTTATCTATCTATGTGTTTAGAGAAACGTTTAAGTAGATCCATTATAAACGGACATACTGTTTACAAAACAGAAAACACGACTCCGTGTTCAATAAATTAAGATTCATTATGTATACACAAATACAGGGTGTTACAATTTTTTATGGGGAATAGTGTTTGGGCAAACGTTTTGTGGCGTAAGTTCTCTAGACCGAAAGAGAATTGGTTTGAAATTTTTCTGATTACATTGAACATACTTTAATTAAATTTCTTCACCATATATTTTCCACGGGCAACTACTACACGTTTGGCAAAACATGAGCAATGACCGTCGACATCAACTGTTAATTAACAGTAAAGACGTCTTTCAATAGAGTACAATCATATTATCTACGTAAACACTACTTAAAAGGACAAATTCCAATATCATATTCAATTCAGCAAGATTGTTGTTTTCTACGACTTCCTTCTGAGCAAAAAACCAGCGAATATAACGAAATACAATCTCAAATCTGACTAGGCAAATAGTAGCAAGTGCAATTTAAATATTTGCCTTTCACAAATGTACATATAAAAGCATTTTCGCGACATATTTACACTTTTCTAAAGATTAGAAGGCACACAACATTTTACTTTAAAACCATACCTGATGTAGACTCATTTCTGTAACGATATTTGCGCTAGTATACGAGAACCGCCATATTAAAAACAATCGCCACAATCAAACACAAACAGTCAGGCACTTTAAAAAAAAAACAGTACTAAAAACCACGTTCGAATTCCCCTGTATCACCTGTATCTAAAACATAGCCTCGACGCGTTGAACACTACGGCACACGCAAGGTGTAAAGGCATCAAAAACCAACTAGTGTGCGAGAACCCCGTGGAAGCCGAGGCGGCCATGGAGTGGACCCTCTCTCTCGACGTTCAACTATTCCACGCCAAAGCCAGCTAGACGCGAATGTGGACGGTGGAAGACAATTTCCTATCTCGCCGCTACTCCCGTATGCAGGTACGACGTGCCGTTTCCTCTGCACGGCGTCTACGTGAGCTTCGGAAAAGCCGATGGGGCGAATTCTTGGATACACGGTGGATAACCTTCAGAAAAGTACCGAGAAGAAGACAGTGGCGATCTCCAAAGGCAATGGAACTAAAGTGCATCCTTTAATTCCTATGGTAGGTATCTTATTCGATGCAAAGTAATAAATCATTACCTGTCAAGGGATCCAGTGCAGTACGGTTTTAAGGGGTTTAGAAATTGATTAATTTCTTTATGCATTATGAAGGGATGAAGGGATCAGTTTAAGTCTGGGACCCCTGTTCCTACAAAAATTCCTTTATTCTCATAAAGTATTTATTTTAAATGTAATTGATTATAAATTCAATTTGTTTTTTAAATTCCACATATGTACTACACTTTACCCCTGTACGCGCCACTATTTACTTGTTTTTTGGAGGCGGCCTCTGATTTACGACCAAGCTCGCCAGCTTAGTATTTGACACTTCGTACACTTGATGCACCTGGGCACTACAAATACTACCAGAACACAATGAGTATGATGCGGTATTTCAGATTTTACATTCAATTTCATTTTAGATTTCAAATGGTTCACCTTACGCCTCCTAAAAATTATGACACGATTTTCCTTTAATAAAAGACCAATTTTTTTGTTCTACTTTGCACCGAATACGATCCTACTTTAGTACAATGGTTCGACGTATATACTAAGTGTCTTAATTATACAGGGTCTAACTTTGAATCGGGACCATATTTATACGCAGGCTACCTTTGATCTGATTTCTTTAATCCTTTTTTTTAATTTATATACCCAACTGCAACCTATGGCATGCATTATTACTAGAGAGTGGACAATGTGTGTTTTTAACCCGAAAGCGTAGCAAAATTAGGTCAAGTTTAGATGCGTACGCGTTCAAAAATGTATTGTGTTTAAACTATGTAAAATATAATTATTATATAAAGCAAATATATTGTATTATCCTCGCGAAGATTTGTGTCCTTCATTTAAAATCCGTAAATCTTGTGAACTGGTAAAACAACAAGAGAAAATAACTGTTAATTTGGTAAAGAATGAAATGACACTCGTACCCATCTCTCATCCATCCGTCAATATCGGTTGCGCTTGTCGAATTCCTATTGGTCAGAATTCAAACTGCAGCCCTGTTATGAATGGGACCTGGATTGGACTATTCTATTATATGCGTCGCGTTATATTAACTCCTAATTCTACCTACTTTAAAAAAGCGACACTATTTTTAACTGAACTTTATTTAATAAATAGGAAGTTATACAAATTCTGATTTTCTAGTCTATAAAAAAAAATTTCCGATGCGTACCAGACACGCCACTGCGTCATGGATAACGTATCTATGTTTATGAATGACAGATCTACGTTCAAGGTTAAAAACACACATTATCCGCTGTCTGATTATTACCAAATCTCATGCGTCTTTCTAGGCTCATAAACGTGTCAATATCACACAAAAATTTAACAATGAAGACACATAAACACACCATACCGCCTCTTAACTCTGAAGATACTCCACTAAATACATCTAAATTTTATTGTAAAATTAAACGTTATAAAACAACACTACACTATCAAATTATAGTTCGATTCCAGTAAAAACTAGTATAGTCTTTCCGATCTCAATTGAAGAACCAAGAGGTTGACAGTATGTATGTACCAGGATCGGTCGCTGACGCAGCAACTCGGCACTGAAATAATTGAGAAACTCGTCATGCCCATAAAGGCGGCACAAACACAGCCGCACTGGGCCACCTGGCCATAAATTCAGTTGTCAACAAATGACCTAGTAGTGCAGTGCAGCAATGCGGAATTTGGTGTGATTCAGGTAATTTTAATTTATCAATATTATAATGTTAAATTATAATGGCATTTTGGAGACCTTTTGAAACGGAACAAAACGAAATTTACCATCAATATAATAAAATTGTTTGTGACGTAAATAATTAAATTATGTTGTTGGTCAAATGAACATATGATAGAAATATAGAAATTTTCTACACATATACAAATTATTATAATTTTGTACCTTTAGCAGAAAACTTTTTTAGGGACGCCTATGAAACTGATTAAATTTTATCACTAGGCTTTTTTATATATGTTCGTGAAAATTTACAAAAATCACAGCCTGTGAAAAAGAATGTTGTTTTAATGTAATCTTGATGTTATTGTTTTAATTTTATCGAAATTTAATTGTCGACATTAATTAAAGTGCTATTTTTAGTAGAAACGATTAAATTGTCACTTTTAATCTCCAAGGCATTAAATTTAACTTCCATGTATGTCATCTGGATTACAGAGTGCCGAAAATAGCGATACACCGAACTACGGATTTATATATAACTAGACTTATACCGAATTTGATCCACCCTGTACGTATGCGATGTCTGGGCGATTAGCGTTGGCGCATTTTGGCACGAGCTTTTGAATAAATGAAAACTATAAGGAAATAAGTAGTCTTACAGTTACGCCTAAAGAGCCAGAGCGAATTTTAAAGGAACTTGTGTTAGGCATTTTGGTCGCACAAGGCAAATACATTCGTATACGTGAAACACAACTTCTATCAAAAAACAAAGGTATAATATTTGACATTCCCGATATACTACAAGGTATTAAAGAAATAAATACTCAAAATTGGAGAGTATGTAAAAGATGTCGAAATATGATGAAAACCTTAGTAGAGTTTGTGTCAGTGGCGGCCCCTAAGGGAGATACAGCCCCATGAAGAGGTAATTCAGGAAACAGTTTTTATTTCATAACTTCAAAACGGTTTAATATTAAATCACGTCATTTTGGGGTTGTATTACTTTTATATGCTTAATAATCGGCATAATATACAAATAAAAATTTGCTACAAAGGCGTAAGAAAATGCGGGACCATGGGGCAAATTTTAAAAAAATTTTAGTACGCAATTTTTTCTACTTCCTGAACCGAAAATATCAAAATATATCATATTTTGCAAAAAGGTGCTCTTGTTAGATTTTAATACCATGAGCCGTTTTCTAGTAAAATCCATTTAAATAATTCATTACATGCTCAAAAATTCCTACTGCAAATTGTGCCACGAGAAAATTACTATTTTTATTTAATTTTCCTTTTGTACTATTATTATCGTTATTATAATTGTTATGTAACTGTTACTAAATCACAGTTAAGTAGATAGTTTTGTAGTAAACAGTAACATGCATAATTTTGAATAATAAAATGTTATTACTCTTATTATTTTTATTTGAAAATCAAAAAATACCAAAAAAGACCCATGAAACATAAAATTTTTATTGTAAATGTAGAAAACCGCGCGGATAGGTGATCCGCGCGGATTCCTCTGTATCTAAACTAGTAGTCCTATAATAATTTAGTTTATTCTATGTTTATTACAGTATCTAAATTCAAATTTCTTAGATTGGAATATTGAGTAGGTAATGTAATCAGGAATTGACATATACTTGACACCCTGTTAAGTGTCATAAATAGTAATTTTCTCATGGTACATTTTGATACACTTATTTTCAAACTCAAGCTATTAAAATTTAACAAGAGTACCTTTTTTATACAAAATATGATAAATTTTCATATTTTCGGTTCAGGAAGTAGAAAAAATTGCGTACAAAAACTTATTTCGTTAACACCTTGTATATCAAATCGAAAAATAGAATAATTTTAGTTATTTAATGATTTTAACAATTTTAGAACCTTCAATTTATTTATTTATGTTTATTTTATTTCAGCTTGTTTGACTTAATTTGATATAATTTTTAGAACAAAAATTGAATTTATTTGAATTAGTTTAAAGCTTTAAAATATGGGATCTACAAATGGTAAAGCGGGTTTCCTTCGAAGTCAAAAGATACGCATTAGCATTTTCTTAATAATGTATTATTTTACAATTAGTAGATTTGAATCGTTATTATGGTAATTTTTGCAGTGATTTGGATACGTATATACAGAGCCTTCATAAATGCCCGAGTCCCAAGTGACCGCAACCAAACTAACACTGGAGGCAATAATAAACACAAAATTCCCTAAAGACAGACGATAATCCAGTACAGCAATATTAACATTTTTTTACAAACATCGAACTTTAATAGAAAGAAAAATATTTACAAAATAATCACACTCAAAAGATATTTTACAAATTAGTAGGTCAAGCAGTTAACTAAAATAATGTGACTTATCTTATGCCACTTTTTTTCATTTCGGAGCCCCATTTTCAAAATACAGGGCGTTAAAATTAAAATTTAAAAAATTATTTTTATTGATAACTCCGGTGATTGTAGATATTTATTTGAAATTTATCACATATTTTGATCTTAAGTCGGCACCCTTTTTGTGTAATTTTGGTTTAAAATAACATAATCATCAAAGCGCGAACGGAGGGGGTTGGACCCCCTATTTTTTTTTTAAAGTACCTACGCCTATGTTTTCCGAATATTTTTTTTAGATAAAACGGCGTTTTATTCTATTTTTTTCACTCTTACAAGATTTTTATTTGGGGCCTCGTTTACGAGATATTGTAACTTTTTTGGATAGGCGACATCAATTTAGTCGACGTTAGACTTTAATTTTTGGGATTTTATAAAAAATTTCTTTTATATGGTACCAAAACTAACTAAACCAAAGAAACGAATTGTACAAGGTAAAGAACATTTTCTGCTGAAACCACACATTTTGATTTGGGGCTTGTACGAGATTTGCAACTCTTTTAGATATATTTTTAAAAATGTTTTCTTTTCATTTGGGAAAAGTTACAAATATTTTCATGTGTGGAAAATGCATTTAGTGGATAATTTCTTGATCTCCCTCTTCGATTGAAATGCGGACAAATAATCCTCCACGATTTTATAAAAATCTGTTTTATAAAGATTTCAAGACCATTTTCAACGTGTTTTTTAATCCAAG